CTATTGAAGGTGACCTGTGCAATGTGGTAATTCTGTACCAATGATATAAAATAAAAAAATCACCACATTCGTTTCTATCACTGATGCAGCAACTATGTGACAGTTGTTTTTATGTTGGTTTCTATTTGCTTCGTCGCTGTACTTTATAATGATTTGTTTTGGTTTGGTGTGTTTTGGTGACCCAGGTCAATCAGGCAAATGACACTATCCTGGCTTCTTGAGTTCTCAGCTGGTTGCAACAAAACGAACTTGGGAACTGAATTACATCCAGAATGATGTTGTTTACCAAAAAAGCAGGGCACCCGAACAAAAGACTCGTTTTGGATTCGGAACATCGCAGACTGAGACGGACTTAAACCACAACCAGCAGGTCGTCTAGGTTGAAAGACCCAGAGGCAATATTAGAGAGAGATGACAGCCAGAGCTGCCACCACGGGGCTCCCAATGACCTCGCCGTTGCTAGCCCAGTCTTGGGAGAATGATGGATGGATATATCCGCGGCTGACGCTTGGAGCAAAAGGCAGTGCGGCCTTTCCTCTGCTCTGAAGCAAATACGACGTTCGTTAGTTGTGCAATGTTCCTTGAGGTCCGTACTCGTTCTCTGCAAATATTCACGGTTTTTTCTGTCTTTCCTTTTGCTGTTGTTGTTGCTGCTGTTGTTGTTGCTGTTGCTGTTGTTGTTGTTGTTGCTCTTGCTGTTGTTGCTGCTGCTGTTGTTGTTGTTCTTGCTGTTGTTGTTGTTGCTGCTGTTGCTGTTGTTGTTGTTGCTGCTGTTGCTGTTGTTGTTGTTGCTGTTGTTGTTGTTGCTGCTGTTGCTGTTGTTGTTGTTGCTGTTGTTGTTGTTGTTGTTGCTGTTGTTGTTGTTGCTGCTGTTGCTGTTGTTGTTGTTGCTGTTGTTGTTGTTGCTGCTGTTGCTGTTGTTGTTGCTGTTGTTGTTGTTGTTGTTGTTGCTGTTGTTGTTGCTGTTGTTGTTGCTGTTGTTGTTGTTGTTGCTGTTGCTGTTGTTGTTGTTGCTGCTGTTGTTGTTGTTGCTGCTGTTGCTGTTGTTGTTGTTGCTGCTGTTGTTGTTGCTGTTGCTGTTGCTGTTGTTGTTGCTGTTGCTGTTGTTGTTGCTGTTGTTGTTGCTGTTGTTGTTGCTGTTGTTGTTGTTACTGCTGTTGTTGTTGTTGCTGCTGTTGCTGTTGTTGTTGTTGCTGTTGTTGTTGTTGCTGCTGTTGCTGTTGTTTTGCTGTTGTTGTTGTTGTTGCTGTTGCTGTTGTTGTTGCTGTTGTTGTTGCTGTTGTTGTTGCTGTTGTTGTTGTTGTTGCTGTTGCTGTGTTGTTGTTGTTTTTGCTGTTGTTGTTGTTGCTGCTGTTGCTGTTGTTTTTGCTGTTGTTGTTGTTGTTGCTGTTGCTGTTGCTGTTGTTGTTGTTGTTGTTGTTGCTGTTGTTGTTGCTGTTGTTGTTGTTGTTGCTGTTGTTGTTGCTGTTGTTGTTGTTGTTGCTGTTGCTGTTGTTGTTGTTGCTGTTGTTGTTGTTGTTGTTGCTGTTGTTGTTGTTGCTGTTGTTGTTGTTGCTGTTGTTGTTGTTGCTGCTGTTGCTGTTGTTTTTGCTGTTGTTGTTGTTGTTGTTGCTGTTGCTGTTGCTGTTGTTGTTGCTGTTGTTGTTGCTGTTGCTGTTGTTGTTGTTGCTGCTGTTGTTGTTGTTGCTGCTGTTGCTGTTGTTGTTGTTGCTGTTGTTGTTGTTGCTGCTGTTGCTGTTGTTTTTGCTGTTGTTGTTGTTGTTGCTGTTGCTGTTGCTGTTGCTGTTGTTGTTGCTGTTGTTGTTGCTGTTGTTGTTGCTGTTGTTGTTGCTGTTGTTGTTGCTGTTGTTGTTGTTGTTGCTGTTGCTGCTGCGCTTGCGCACCGCAGGATCTCCCCTGTAAAAATAGCCGGGAAACTGGTTAAACGGGATCATTCGTAGTCACAAATCAAACCTCTATCGCTTTAAACACCAGGCTGATGTATAGCTTTCCTGTTACAGCAGGGCATTGTAGATGACAAATGCAGTGAAACGTATTTTTTTTTCCTTTTCAATTTGTCCTTTGTGCAGCGCTGCCAACGCAACCTTTAAATTTACATTTTTTTATTTACCCAACGTTGAATAGTTGAGTTGGTCGGAGTCTGAACGCGCGGTTGGTGGAGCGGGCCTGGCATCTTCTCACTTGGCACCTGCGAATGTGTTTCCCCCCCCCCCCACCCCTCGTAACAATCTGCCGCACGCAGGTGGGCAAGCACCGACAGAACGGCCAAGCGTGCCAGCCGGAATTGTGCCGTGCAGCCTCTTCCGCCCCCCCCCCCCCCCAGTGGGCATTCCGAGTCCGCGTCACAGTTTTGCCAAGTCTCTTGTCCCAGAATTCCGGACGGGACTCGTCGTGCGCCCCGTGAAATGCCCTATCGCCCGACGTGCACGCCAGCGTCGCTCGGTGCGAGCGTCTGATTACTTTACCGGACAACACGGTGCCATACGCGACCGTTTATGTATTTGTTTGTTATACAATAACTCTTTGGATTGTTGCCTGACCCCCCCCCCCGCCCGCTCCCACGGCCTCCCTTTGTGTGTGTTAGTGGTCGTTCGCTGAGCTCAAACGATAAAACAAATGTTCGGCGGACAAAGGCGATGGATTTTCAGCATCGTCGTTGGTGTGAACCAGGTGTAGAGCAGTTTGTTTGTGCATGTGGCCTGTGTTTTGATTGTCGTGTGTTTAGTTGACTGACCTCCAAAATGGGTGCGCGAACAAAGTGACTGCCAAGTTAGCGAGAATACTCCATGTGGTAAATAAGTGCTCCAGGCAGTTATTTGTCAATCCACTGCTGGATGACGCTCTCTTCACAGAATGTCGGGTCGTGTGTGACCAGTTCAGTACACTGTGAGCTAAGATGCTCTATAAAAACACAAGACTGTTTCCGTGACAGACATAACAAACGCATCAGAAAAAAAGAATAATACAAATGAATTTAAAAAAGGTAAGAAATATTATTTCAAATGTAAAATGTATCTTTTGAAAGTTTTAGCCATTTAAGGAATTAAAAAGTGCAAGATTAGGCATAAATAGTGCCAGTGGTAAAACACTTAATTTCTCAAGAAACACTTAATTTAAATCTCCAATAAAAAATACTTCATCACGCTGGTCACTTCGGGTTTGTAAAGTGTGGGTGATGGGGGGGGAAGAGCGTGGGAGGGCTGGGACCAAGACTGTTTCAGATATCACCTGCCACTGATGTCAGCTGTAGCCAGGAATTGAACTCTGGATGTCGGGTTCATAGCGCAGTGCATCCGCTAACCACGGCACGACCGTACCCCCCCCCCCCCAACCCTGCGTGATCGATACCCTGCCAAAAGCAAGACGGGTCTCGATAGAAGACGGCTGAAAAAGGGACGTGTCATTCACGTCAATAAAAAAAAATCAGTTATTTACTCATTTTAAAATCTCAACTGAGTCTTGAATGTTTTATTTCAGGAGGGCTTCCCGTGTGAGCTGTCTGGCCACGAGCTTCACGAGTATTTTTGTGTTTGTAACAAAAGCGGTTGGGGGGGGCAGACGAGTCGCGCGCGATGAGATGAGGCTCAAATATTCCGCACAGATTCACCCCCCCACACCCCATGCCTCTCTCATTGGTCGCACACCACACCCCAGCGCACTGCCTTCTCATTTTGTCCACACAGTCCCCAAAAGACAAAGATCTCTCCCCCCCCCTCCCCGTATAGCCTAAACAGACTGTTGGGTACTCATACTCTTAGGTTTTTTCGGTTAAGTCACGTAGGTAAAAAAATAAAATTAAAAATTAATAAAAGTAATAATGGAAATAAAATAAAATAATAAATCATGACGTTTCGGAGGCAACACAAGTCTCCGTCATCAGGTGGGACCGTCACAGCTAAAATTACTGCCCCAGACTGTTGGGGCCAGAGCTGTGACCAAGTAGCACCTATGTAGGCCGACACGGCACACAAGGGGGTGGGTGGCTAAAACCACTCCCGACTGCTTTTGTCTCCCCGGGTAGAAATGTTTACACACTGCAGCAGGTACTCATTTGAGGCTGAGTCAACCTAGGGGTGGCCCAGGACCGGTTCGAGATAATTGTCACGGGTGTTGGTGGCCGTGAGCAGGAATCGTGCTCGGGTCACCGTGTTCGAAGCGCAGCGCGCTAACCGCTACACTGCAGTCCCCAACACGTGTTGGCACAAACTAATCCCTTGCCTCTTCCCCCGTTTCCCCTGGCAGTCGGATAAAACTGAAAAAGGATGTGTGGCACTTGATCCACATGTGCTCTGTTTGCTCTGTTACCTTTTATTATTGTTTTGTTTTTTTTAAAGAAAATCCGTATAAATTTGTCAACCCACCTTACTGCACTGCAATCTTACAAACAACCACCTCGGTTCTGCAGGTTGGGAGTATTGACGACAACCATTCGCCAATAAGCGATGGCGACATCACTCATGGCGCTTGTGCCAGGCCAGGTGCAATTTGAGGCCATCGCGTGAAGCGTGGAAGGCTCCGCTGATGGCAGTAGGTCAGGGGACGACTCTGTTGTGTCTAAGTTTGCCGACTGACATGACTCGCAGGTGCACGACCTGTGCTCACTACTGTGCCAGCTTTTGCTGCATTTTAACCGCCTGACTCTGCTCGTTGTGAGCGTCACCCCCCCCTTCCTGCTCTGCGTTGTTGCTGGAGGGCAGCTGCCTCCAGCTGCTCAGTAGCGTCTTTCACACACACACACATACACACGATTATGTCTGTTGGCTCAACGGATGCCTCGTGGATTGCAGCCACCCACAGAGATTCTCCACCACGACATGGCACGGCCTTAAACACGGGTGCTGCGTTTTGCCGCGATTGATTTTTGTTCACGAGGCGACCGTCGACACTCTCCCTTCGTTTTGGACAAACGAACATCGTTTTGTGCCCACACCGCGATTGACCCGCGAACGGGTTTCTAATCCACCGCGATCGTTTGCTCCCACGCCCCCCCCCCACCGCAGCATTCCCGAAGCGTCCTCAATCCACGGTTTCCGAGACGGGCACCGGAGCATTTTCTACGGCGGCTGCGTCCAGCGCAGGCCATCGCTGACGGCTGGCGCGCGAGGCGGGTGATCAGGGCGTCTCTCCCCGAACCGCCTGCCTGTCCCCTCCACTTCTTGCTGCTGCCTTCAGCCAGAACCTGCTGCTCCAGCTGCTGCTGCTGCTGCTACTGCCTGCAGTGGGTGGCCGTTGTCACCAGGAAGTGCCACAGCCTTGGCTGGAGGTGAGATTCCCTCAACGCTGCCGCCCCTACCCTGCCACCCACCATCATCATGAGTGCTTTGCTTGGGAAGTTGTGTTCAACCATATGGGCAAACACTTAAGGGAATGCTACAGACCTTTCATCCACGCTGTTGATTTGGTCTTCTTATTTTTTGATATTGTGTGCTGTCTTAAGTTCTGTCCCTTCCCATCCAAGCAATGTTTAAAATGTTTTATTGTCGCTATTTGGGAAGACTTATTGGTTATTTTTAACATTGTGTAGTAAATTTAGTGGATTTTAGCAGCAGCAGGAACCCATTACGTGTCAATCACGATCTATCCTCTGCTGATTCTCTAACCCATGCAATTTCGCTTCCTGCCTGAGGGTAATCCCGTACATTTACCTCCCTTGTGCTTCTGTGCCCGCGTTTCAACTTTGTTCCATTTTTCTTTGTCAGCGTTCATGTTTCGGATTTTAATATGCCATCGCGGTATTATTCGCTGATGAAGATGATTTTGTTTAGTTTGCATTAGTATGTTGATTTCCTCTCTCGGGTTTTCCAAAAGCATTCCAAACCTACGCTTATCCGGCAAAAGGGTCTGACTTTTAAAGTTGACGTACGTTTTGCACATTTCATAATGAAGATGCTATCGGTTGCAGGGGGCACTTGGAGTAGAGGGGGACCGATTGGTGAGATGGGAGGAGATGTGGTGGAACAAGATTTGAGGACTGGTGAATGTGTGACGAGAGACGAGGGGCAGAGATGAAGAAGCAGCTCGTGGAGAAAGATTATCCGAGCAGGTGACCCCATGCAGAAATGGGGACTTATAAAAAGATACAAGTCTCTGGGTATCTCCAAGTCTGGCTGTCTCTCTCATGCAAGTCCATGTAACGGCATTAGACTCTATTGCAAGTCTATGGTTCTCCAATGCATGTCTACGGATCCTGTATGTAAGGATAGTGGATTTGACAAGAGAAGATGCACAGAATAATAGCGCACGGAGCCAGAAAATCTGGGCAGCTGACCCATGTGCAATAATGGAACTTTTGCTCTCAGAAGCAGAATATAAATTTAAACAATGGTTGTCAGCTAGTGAATGAAATACGTTTTCTGTTATTTTTTTTACGTGTAGTGGTGTTTTACAGCCTTGGTGTGGTTGGGACAACCAGAGTTAAAGCATCATCGTGAATCTTCGCGAATGCAATTTGACAAAACACAGCTCAAGAAACGCTCGCCATGGTTTATACGCCTTACACCATAGCCGCACCCGCGTCGTGCATCTGTGCACGTTCACAATTTTATAACGGAATGAAAGTGTGCTCCCCATTTTGCGTAAATCCTGGCGACCGTCGCCGTCCGGTTGTGTTTGCGAAAGAGAGGGTTGCCGCTTTGGATTTGTACGAGATTGGATTAATGGTATCCACGGAAACGGCTGTTAACTGGATCCAAAACGGGGGGTGTGGGGGTTGGGTTGTGGGTGACCCTGCCATAAATAATACATTTTCCAAAGGTACATTTCATCAGCTTTCTTGCCCCGTGGCCCTGTCCTGTGGCTGGCTGATCTTCGCTCCGCCTGGATGGCCCAGCCCGTTGATGCTTCCTGGATTCTTTAAAAACGTTTTCCTGACCCGAATTTCGCAAATGCTGTAGGTTTGCTAAGAGTAAATGAAAACCTAGCCCCGTTGTCCTGCTCATGCCACACGCACGCACATTATTCTTTTCTAAACCCCAGAATAATCGGTTTCTTTGTTGCTCGTCTTGTTGTAAAAATCTATTGTTGTGCTCCTTACATCTGTGCCCCCACACCAATGCCACCTTCGCCGACCTGTACTACCGACCGGCATGGTGAAGTATAGTCGAATAACCCTGATGACCTACATGGCATGAGGGTGGGGGGGGACCCTCATCCATCAGTGGATACAATTCTGGAGAACGATACTTATCTCGTGGATCACAGTTGAATTTTCAACAATTCCCTTGCTGTTGTATGTGATGTGTTGTTCGCACGTTTTCTTCAATTTATCGTTTGCAATTTTAGTTTTGTCATTGTTAGTAATGCTATCGTCCCTTCTGGGACACACGCGTTTGCAGCCGCACCTCCGACTTTTTTGCACGGTTTGGCTACGAATGGTGCGGACAGAAGTTCAACGTACATGCATCTTTTGGGACGAAAGGGCAGTCGCACGCGCGCGCTCGCGATGGCTAAACCCCGGGCTGTGAACCCGGACCGGATTGCCTCCTCCGCTCTATTTATGAAGGATTCCGTCGGTGTTGGCGCTATCGATTGCGTGGCCCAGCGCCGGTCCAGCTCCAGAAATCGATATGGCCGCCCGGCGCGGTAAACACACCGCGCGCCGCGGCGCATCCGATTTATATTTCTCTCTTTTTTTTTTCTCCCGCACCACGTCCCGTCCACCTTCCCAGCCCCTTCCACCTCCCGACCCGACCTCGAACGAGTCGGGGGGGGGGGGGTGGGGAGGCACCTTTTTAACGGTGTCCTGTGGACGCTTGCTCGTTCCGTGCCTCGTGCGCGTGGCTGCTGGCCCTGCGAGCACCCTCCAGCTACGGCCGAGGCTCCCAGATTTTCCTGGACCCTCCGAGGTTTCCCCCTTTTCATGCTTTGCCCCCAACTTATAGCCCTGCCCCGAAGAGCAGATTGCACTTAGTTTTTTTTCTTAATAAAAAATGAAAATGTTTGTTGGTGGGGAAGTAAGGTCGTGGTAACGCTGCGTCCCGAGTCGTAGATTTTAAGAGCGATTATCAAGGCTCGTGATGCTTGCGCCAAATCGCACGCGAGGATTAATGCATTATTACGATGAATGAAAATGAGATGCGATTGTGGTTGCTTTTTGTCCGGCGTCGCAAAAACGAGCCTGCCGCGATACGTCCGCTCCAGCACGAACACTGATAAACATTGAAATGCAATCGAATAATCCTTCCAGATCAGCCATTATCTCTCCACTGCTGGATGAAGGTCTCCCTCTTAAGCCATTGCCATTTCTGACTATCGCAACAAAGACGCCACAAACCATCTAGCTCCCGCACACGAGCCGATTTTCATCGTTCCAACTCTGCAGTTGGGAGAATTCCCTCCATTTGGCTGTTGGCCATCCTTCTTTCCGTCGACGTGTCCAGCCCCAAGCCCACTTTACTTTTATAAACAGTCAGGATCACCAACAATGTTTCCAATCGCTGACATGTAAAATCTGCATTTTTAAAAGAAACAAAACAACTATTGGAAAAAAGGCGTCTGTTTGGTGTTTGAACGTCTTAACACCTGTTTTATTGCCATAAAGTGTAAAACCTATTCTTATTTTTCCATAATTTTTTTTATACTGGCAAAAAGGGGCTCCCATTGATAAAAACAACTATTAGTTTATTAGGTGTGACGGACTTTCACCGTAGTCGAAATAAGAGTTTTTGACGCCAGCCAGCCAGCGCTTTGCTCGAAACATCGTTCACTCAGCGACGATCAATGACGGGGGGACGGCTTCAGTCTCGCACCTGCAGCGTGAAGGACACGCATTCCTCACTAAACGACGTCCTCGTGGTGTGAAAATTTGATGCTGTTCTCCGGCCTCGGGTCTCCCGTGGGAGAATTGTCTTTGGTAGTCGGGCAGTGATGGGGAGGGGGGGGTGGAGGGAGAGCCGGGCACGGAAGGGGTTAAATTTACTGCCGAGCCACCGTTGATCTATGTTTTAGCTCCGGTTTCCTGGCCACTGCTATGAAAAAAAAATAGATATGGATTTATCAGTGCAGACAGATGCTTGTACTCCATAAGCTGTTTGCCCAAGGCAAAGCAGAGCAGCGGTGTATGTCAGCTGATTGACAGGTTATTGCTTTAATAAAGCACAAAGTACATATTTTGTTTAGTCCGTCGGCCTGTAATCCATATGTTTGGCTAAAGTGTGGTAAATTGCAAACCGCAGTCAAACTGTTCTGCCCTGTTTTTTTTTTTTTAAACGAAAACTGAAACATTATTTGCAGGGGGCGGTGGTATTACGAGATGATTAGTGCAGGCGTAAAAAAAATGCCAGCTTTTAAAGGTGAAGGGTTGTCATTTTAACGATTTTGTTGTGTGTGGCGCTCGCTCTGCGTGGTGCAACGTGTGTGCCGTCTTTGCTTTGAGAAGGGCGCCGCGCACGTGTGTGTGCATCGTCGGAGACCGGTGTGTGCGCTTTAGCGAGGAAGGCACAGCGGGCGGTGGAGGCTCCTCCGGTTTTTCCCCCTCTACATTTGGAAGCATGCCTTGAGATTATTTTGGTGCTATCAGTGTCCAAATGATGGGTCCACTTTGTTGAGCTGTCATTTGTGGGTAGCCAGGTCGCTTTTGAAAAGTAAGTTAACACTTCAGTGAGGTTTTCCAGGTAGGATGGGGTTGGTGTAGTTGTATTTGGATGCTTTTGGGTGATTTGTTTATCTTTCTTGTACTTTGCACGACTATCGTGTTTTTTGTGTTGTTTGTTGTTGTAACGCTTTTACTCGCTCCTATTGGACATTTGTGAAAGAGAGCGTTATAGCTCATCGGATTCCTCCAGTATCTATAAATGTTCTAATTCTGATTTAACGCGCGGTTACGCGCTCCCTGTCTTGCTGGATTGTGAGCGATTTTTTTTTTATCGCCTCGTCCCCCCCCCTTCCATCCGTGACAGAAGCTCGCATTCTTTCGCGCTGTCGTTGAAGAAAAAATGTTCCCCCAAAACCCTCCTCGTCATCTTCTTGGTTCTTTCGGTAAAGAACCAAGAAGATGAATCCCTGCAGTCACGAAAGCTTTAAATCGAAACCTCCTCGTCATGTTTACACGAAGATTTATCGCTGTGTATTTGTGTGTTTCGTGTTTAAAGTGCTTGCTTATTTCTCTGGTCGGCACGTGACAACGTAGAAGTCGTCACGTAGGTAGAAAATAATAGATCAGGACGTTTCGATCGCAACACAAGCGGCCGTCTTCAGGTGAGACAATCACAGCAGGAAACTGCAATCACAGCAGGGAAACCTCACGATTGCACATGCTTTCGCAGG